GGATCAAAGGGCAAAAAACTAGTTTTTGAAGATTTTTGGGATTGAAGACGATGTAAGTGCTATGCTCAGTAAACACTTTTAATTTGATTAATACATTTAATTTATGGTAAGATCCATTATTTAATTGAATTGTGATTATGATAAACTATATTAATAGAGTTTATAGATTCAAATCCTAGTAACTTGTTAATCACAAGGAGATGTAAAAGTGAAAAACAAATTATATTGATTGAATCTTATATTATCCGTAGTCGTAATTAATAATGAAATACGAATATCATTATTACGGTTACACTAGCACATGTGGCATTTCTCACTTAAGAAGTGAATAACTGACAAACTAAAATGTAGTGATATTTAAATGGATGCATGAATGTTTTGTTATAAGAACAAGACATTGAAAACCTACTAGAGAGATTCCACATAGATAACTATCTGAGTGTCAGTAGTTAATATCTAATGTTCGGTAGTCCAATTAATCATTTGACTTAAAGCCATCATAGTGCCTTATACAAGGACATGTATGCTTTGATGTTGTTAAATATTTCTTAGTCAAGAGTCGTTAATAAAACATCGTCGGCCATGTCAAGAATCATATGAAGGTTGTGAATGACCAATAAAGGATTGGTTACTCTTAGATGTAAGCGATTATGATCAACATTTCATTCAATTAAGTTGATAATGAAATTTTTGATCAAGATATACTTATAAGTCAAAAAGAGTTTTCAACTTATATTGACTTAAGAGTGAGTTAAAGATATGATCGATAATCGAGATTGATACACTTCCGTATCTCGTGATTTATCGGATCTTATTGATGAATGGATTATATTTTCATGATAAACGAAAAAGTTTGGTTTGTTATATCGCGGACATTTTTCGTCACATGAATTGCCCAAATGCATTACTAGATGTTAATCTGGGACGAAGATAAATTAAAATGGAATTTAATTTATTGATTTTAATTAGATCAAAATAATAATTCATATCGTTAGATATCGTGATCGGAAACTCAATGGGTTCCACAAAAGTAGAACTGAAAGAATAAAATGTACAAATTAATTAATTGACAAGTGTTGGAGAATTGATTAATTAGTTTGCTTATTAATGATCCAAGTTTAATTAATTAGATTAATTAAGCGCTGGACCAGATTGAGTTTAAGTGACCGATCAAGTCTACTTGGACTTTTATTATTAAGTTGTTAAGGTTGAAAAACATAATACATTATTATCTTACTAACACAAGGAAAGAGAAATCATGATTCTTTCATTCTTGTTCCCTTGCAGATCATGATTATTCTTCGCAGAATTAATTAAAAGTATAATTTTTATCACAATTTCTATTAAACACAAAAAAGATCATTGGTGAGAATTGAAATTATTTTAAATTTTGTTAAACATGATTAAATAAATTCCCAATAAAAGATTCTTGATACAATATCCAATTTCTTCCTTCATTAAGATTTCAAAACCCAATTCTGAAATCTATATGTTTTCTTTAATTAGTATGAGTAGCCAAATCTATAGTTTGGACAAATAATGTAATCTATATGTGACATTTTACTGTGGTCGTTACATGAATTTGATTAGCAAAGAAATGGTGCATAAATTGAAATTCCACAAAGTGTAAGGACAACAAAGCCTGGTTCAAGCTACCATGATCAATCATACACCAAAAGTCAAGTTTGAGACTATATGGGATTGCACATAGGCATTTTCCCATGTATTATCTTTTTAAAAAAAAATTAGGGTTAACCGCGGTCCTGAAATGGACCATGTTTGTCGCTGGTTAGTAGCGGATTTGCAATATATAGCAACTTCAATTTCAAATTTTCTTCTATTTTTTCATACAAATCCACCCAAAAACTCCTCAATCTTAAAAAACACAAATATGACATCAAATTCAAGTATTAAACGCAACATTTATCAATCATATTCAAACTATTATATTCGAAAATCAAAGTTAAGATTTTTTGAACCCTAATTTTTCTAAAATTGGAAATCTTGATATTTGACTGCATTGTTTAAATTAATTTTGAAGGATGTGATTATCTAAAAAGCTGCCAAAAGCTAAAAATTAAAAAATATATACACACACACAAGAAGTTTTTCCGAAAACCAAAATTTACTTCAACTTTGGGGGTTGTTCAAAATTAGAATTTTTGGTACAATTTAGTAATTGAATGATGGAGTTTAGAGCTAGGATAGTTGATGGAGTTGATTGTTGTGGATTGAATGCATAAATCGGGTCTAAACACTTCACAAAATTTATTTAATTCAAAGGAAATTTGTTATGAAGACAAAATGTTCTATGAAATTTTCCTATAACTCAAAGATGATATTTTTGCATTGAATTAGCATGGCAAATTCATATATTGGCATATAACATATTTGTGCGAAAAAATCTATACTTGAATTGAAATTGGGACAATTTTTACATGAACGTAACAAGGGGCACGCATGGGTCCCCTTTCTGCATTCTTACATGCATTCCCTTATCTGTCTCCCCTTTGTTTCCTATTTTTGCATACAGTTAGAATTTGTTATTCAATCAAGAATCAAATAACAAGAATTCTGGTAAAGATGCCACAATGACCGTGAATTCAGGAGTGCTGCCTTATTCTTCAGTTGAGCCATGTGCTGATATTATTTTAGAGTCTTCTTGTATATATCGTATATATATAGATAATGATGTATAAATATAGCAATGATCTGATGTAATTTTGCAGTTTTAAATATACAAATCATCCTAAATTCTATCTTGGTACCAAATCCAAATGGCAAATATTAGCACTGGAAATCAATCTGGACCTACAGATTCAAGCATGGCACCAATCGTTCAAGTGGCTGCAAGTCAGTACACACAAATTGGAATGTCTCTAAATCAAACTCCTTCAATCAAACTTGACAGGAATAATTACCTGTTGTGGAATAATATGATTATGCATGTAATTAAAGGTTATAATCTCGAAGGTCACCTTCTTGGAACCAAGGAATGTCCACCAGAATTTCTAGTCACACAGACAAGTGTTGGCCTAGGTGAAGCAGTTGAAATGCATCAGAACCTTGAATATAACAAATGGGTTTCAGTCGACCAACTCTTGATTGGATGGTTGTACTCAGCTATGAACCTTGAAATAGCAATAAGAGTTATAGGATGTTCCAGCTCCAGCAAGCTCTAGACTGCAATTGAGGAGAGCTATGGTGTGCTGAACAAATCCAGAATCGTCTTCCTCAATGGGGAACTGCAAAGAATCAGGAAAGGAAATATGTCAATGGATCATTATCTCACAACAATCAAGCAAATAGCCAATAATCTGGAAGTTGCAGGAAAGATTATTGATCAAAATGATCTGATAACCTAAGTGTTATCAGGCTTGGATGAGGAATACACATCCATAGTGGTGCAAGTTAACAGCAAGGAGAACATTTCTTGGCATGAACTTTCATCAATCCTGATGACTTATGAAAGTCGACTTGAGTACTTGAATCAAGTCAGGAATAATTTTACCTCTATGAGCATTAACCAATCAAGTGTACAACTAATACCAAGAACAAATTCAGGTGGTGGCAGAACCTTTAGAGGTTTCAGAAATGGCAGAGGAACGAACTTTAGAGGAAGAACCAGAGTCGAGGAAGGACTGGAAGGCAAGGAGATAGCAGAGGACCTTGTCAAATTTGTGGCCTGAACAATCATTCTGCTAGCTGGTGCTTCAACAGATATGATGAGAGAGATACATGGGGAGCAAACCAATCAGCCAAAATTCCTAAAACATAGCACCATCAGCATATGTTGCCTCCCCAACAGTGCTTGAGGATCTAGCCTGGTTTGTGGACTCAGGTGCGAGTAATCACGTAACAGGCAACAAAGACAACCTGCAAAATGTGAAAAAATATGAAGGTAATGAAAAGCTTATCGTTGGTAATGGAAATTCATTGAATATCACTCATACTGGAAATGGAAAAATTGCTACTGTGGACATGAGACCTCTCACCTTGCATAAATTATTGCATGTACCTACCATTAAAAAGAATCTGATTAGGGCCTCTCAACTCACCAGAGATAATAATGTGTTTATGGAATTCTATTCTAACTCTTGTGTTATCAAGGATTTGGAAACGAGGAAGACCTTGCTGCTGGGAATGCTTAAGGATGGCTTGTATCAATTGGTGGTGCTCCAAGCCAAGAACCAATCTAATAGAGTCTAATTCCCACAATAATTCCAATTGTCTCACATGAGTCATAGTTGTGATGAGTCAGCCTATAATGTTAAAAATTCTGAGTCTGAACTTGTTACCTGGCATAGGAAGTTAGGACATCCTTCTAATCATGTATTGGATCAAATCCTCAAGTCTTGTAACAAGTTTATTAATGAAAAGCCAAAATTATGTGATTCTTGCAAACTTGGAAAATCCCATGCTCTGCCCTTTAAGCTGTCTTCTTCACATACTTCAATACCTTTAGATCTTATCCATGCTGATGTCTGGGGACCAGCTCCTCTCAATTCTACCAATGGATTCAAGTATTACATACTCTTTGTTCATGATTTTAGTAGATTCACTTGGATATATCCAATGAAGCTTAAATCTGAAGCATTAAAAATCTTCATTCAGCTCAAAACACTAGCAGAAAACAAGCTAGAAAAAAGAATTAAAACACTACAAATAGACTGGGGGGAGAATTCAGAAGTTTCAGTAAACTTGCCTCAGAATTTGGAATAGAACTTAGACACTCATGTCCCTATACATCTGTTCAAAATGGGAGAGCTGAGAGAAAGCACAGACATGTCACTGAAACCGGTTTAACACTCCTAGCTCAAGCCAAAATGCCACTCTACTACTGGTGGGAGTCATTCCAGACAGCAGCCTTTTTGATCAATAAGCTGCCTACCCCATTGCTTCAAAATAAATCACCATTTCAGACACTCTTTGAAAAAACCTTTGATTGCAAAATACTAAAAACCTTCGGTTATGCTTGTTTTCCTTGCCTCAGACCCTACCAAAGACATAAGTTTGATTTCCACTCTAAAAAATGCGTGTTTCTTGGCTACAGTGACTCACACAAAGGGTATAAATGCTTGAGTCCAAGTGGTAGAGTTTATGTCTCTAGACATGTCCTATGCAATGAACTTGATTTTCCTTTTGAAATAGGATTCCTAAACAAACGAGTCAAACCTTTGAACCTGTCACAGGTTTTCTCCCATTTGTTACAGAGTCCAGTTATAAGCAAATACATCAACCTATCAATGATACAAACCCTCCTGATGCAACACCTACTGCAGGTTCCTCTGAAAATGAATCTGAGACTGAAAGTATAGATGAAGAAGGTCTCAGATACAATGATATTGAAACAAATCAGAGAGAGGTTGATGGTTGGAATGTACCTAAATTACAACCTGAAAGTTGTGATGCTAATGCTGAAGGAGATAAAACAAATACTCAGGTTGTAGATGAGACTCATAATGAAGGTCATCAAATGATCACAAGGAGCAAAGCAGGTATCTACAAACCTAAGGTTTACACAAATCAGACAGCAGAAAAATCAGAAGAAACTGAACCACTCACTATTGAAGAAGCTTTAACAAGTGACCTATGGAAAGGAGCTATGCAGGCAGAATATGGCGCACTAATAAACAACAAAACATGGACCTTGGTTCCTAAGAAAGATGGCATGAAGGTCATTGGTAACAAGTGGGTTTTCAAATTGAAGTATGATTCTGATGGAAGGGTAAAAAGACATAAAGCAAGACTAGTTACAAAAGGTTTTCTTCAGACACCTGGCATTGATTTTGGTGAAACGTTTAGCCCTGTCATTAAAGCCTTTACACTAAAAATTATCTTGACACTCGCAGTATCCAGAAATTGGGAAATTCGACAGGTAGATGTTAACAATGCCTTCCTCAATGGAGAGTTATGTGAAGAAGTCTTTATGAATCAACCTCAAGGTTTTGTTGACAAAAGGAAGCCTGAATTCGTGTGCAAATTAAAAAAGGCTTTATAGGGGCTAAAATAAGCCCCCCAAGAGCTTGGTATGATAAGCTCAAAATCACTTTGTTGCAATGGAAGTTTAAACAGTCCATGGCTGATAATTCTCTATTCTTTCTGGCTGACAAAGAAGGGATATTATTTGTATTAATTTATGTTGATGATATAGTGATTACATGGAGCAACTCTCAGCGGGTATCAGAATTCATTGACAGATTAAACAAAAGCTTTACACTCAAGGATATGGGAAAGCTTAGCCATTTTCTCGGAATAGAAGTCTACAGAGATGAATCTGGGCTATATCTAACTCAGACAAAATATGCCTCAGACTTATTAAAAAGACTCGGGTATGAAAGCCTGAAACCAAGCCAAACACCCATGGCTGCTGGCAAATTAATTTCCAAAACTCAAGGCCAGCCAATGAGTGATCCAACCCTGTATAGAAGTGCCATAGGTGGACTTCAATACCTCTATCATACAAGACCAGATATAACCTTTTCAGTTAACAAATTGAGTCAATTTCTTCAAGTTCCCACTGATGCTCATTGGAATGCACTAAAGAGAGTATTCAGATACTTAAGAGGTACGCTAAATCATGGATTAGCTATTCGAAGAAATGACAATCTCAGTATAAATGCCTTTGCTGACTCAGACTGGGGATCATATCCGGATGACAGACGCTCTACAGCAGGATACTATGTCTACCTTGGAGAAAATCTGGTGTCTTGGTGCTCAAAGAAGCAGCACATCGTTGGAAGATCAAGCACAGTTGCTGAGTATCGAACATTAGCTCACAGTGCTGCTGAAATCTCATGGATTCAATCTCTGTTGAATGAACTTGGTTTACCCCAAAAATCAGCTCCTAGCATTTGGTGTGATAACCTTGGTGCAAGTGCTCTTGCTTCAAATCCTGTCTACCATGCAAGAACTAAACATATTGAGCTTGACATCCACTTTGTGAGAGACAAAGTTCTGAAAGGAGAACTAACAATACACTATGTGCCAACATCTGAACAAACAGCAGATTTATTGACCAAACCTCTCAACCATTCAAGATTCTCATTGCTAAGAGACAAGCTTGGAGTTGTTGAATACACTCCACCATGAAGGGGGGAGTTAGAATTTGTTATTCAATCAAGAATCAAATAACAAGAATTCTGGTAAAGATGCCACAATGACCGTGAATTCAGGAGTGCTTCCTTATTCTTCAATTGAGCCATGTGCTGATATTATTCTAGAGTCTTCTTGTATATATCGTATATATATAGATAATGCTGTATAAATATAGCAATGATCTGATGTAATTTTGCAATTTTAAATATACAAATCATCCTAAATTCTATCTCTTACAAATTTGATGTGTTCAAATATGATTCATTAACTGTGGCTTACTTACGTATTCCATGATCTTTCATTTTAGGAAAATATGTCATAGAAAATGTAAGGCACCTTCAAAGAAAGAGGAAAGGAAAAGGGTCATGTTAGTTGTATAACTGATGTTGACAACCACTCACATGGGGGTCTACTTTTTTTTTTTTTTAATTTTTTAAACATGCAGACCCTGCACACATGTGAGAGGTTGTCAACCGAGGTGGTACAAGTAGAATTTCGAGCATAAATTGCTCTACGTTGAGGACAATGTAGAGGTAGTTCAGTTAGTTTGCTATTTTTTTTTATTAGTGTAATATAAAGAAATAAATTTTATTTTGTCTTTCCGTAAGTTGGATAGCATTGTCGATATGAATATGATTATTTGTAATTATTTATGATGTATAAATTGTGAATATGTAATGCATTTTTTTCTAGTTTGATACTTTGTATTAGATCGTATTATATTGAGTACCATAGTCATGATAATTATTTTGAATCTTTTGGGTTGAGTACATTGATAATATGTGTTGAATTCGTATTGAACTTAGGTTAATAAATCCAGATCATACTATGTAGGAAAATCACTCAACCTATTGAAATGATTGTTTTGGGATGGTTGATCCGATATTGTGAGCTATTTAGATAAGTTTTAATTTCGTGCTTGTTGAATATTTGGATGAAATATTTTTTTGCTAACAAGTAGAATCTATGTGGTATCTATATACTTGGTTTTGATTTCAATTAATCATCCAAAAAATAAAGATATTGCACTAGTAGTAGAACGTAGAAAAAAGTTATCTACATTTTTATGTGAAGCTATTATTGAGTAATGTGATCTTATTCATCACCAATATCTAGGAGACTGTTTATTAGGGAAGAAGGTTGCATGCAATGTACAATGAAAACTAAATTTGAAAACCAAATAAAATATCCAAAATACATAAGAAATGACACAACAAAGGAAAAGAAAAACACACAAAAGTATGTTGAGGCAGTGACAATAAACTATAAGAACTATTTCTACCCAACAAAGTCTTGGACACTTAATTGGAAATTTAGACATCGGGTGAGAGTTATATCCTAGTTGAAGCTTGGATTTTGAAACGTTTAAATCATGTGAGACTCATCATATATCGAGATAATGACTCTCATTCGTGAAACCCAACCAAACTTTAGCGAGAAATGAATGAGTTTTGAGATAATCAACCTTAAAATAAACATCCCGAGAATGTGACAGAAAAATAAGTTTGTGTATGTGCATCGAGAAAGGAATGAGTGTTGTGGTTATCAATCTTAAAATAAACACCCCAAGTATGTGGTTGAAAAATAAGTTTGATTAAGTGCATCACTCATTTCAACAATCAACCTTAAAATGTAAGTATGTGATTAAAAAATAAGTTAAGAGTGTGTGCATCCAACAAGAGAAAAAAATTTGGCTATTGGAGGTCAAAAATAACCAACCAAAAGGCTCATGATGAATAGATAGACTATGCACACACACACATTGATCGATCATTGACCAAGTGAGAATTAGTTTTATTTGCATTACTTATAAACATATTATGAATTCTTTGATGATTTCAAATACATCATGCAAGTTTGGCAAAGTTATCTAATGCTTATATATTTTTATATGCATGTGTGTTTATTAGATAGCATTGCTCGACACTAACAAGAGTTTAAATTTGGAAATATTTGATAAGTCCATTTTATGTGCTTATTCGAGTTTGATTCTTATTTATTTATCTCCATTTGAACTAATAAATATTTAATTTAAATTAAATTATATTAATTGTAGGTAAATTTTGAATTGGATGAAATTTGATTGAAGCAGTACAAAATTGAGGAATTGGGAACTAAAATAATCAAGACTTGAAGTTAAGGACCTACCACGCAAATAATAAATGACCAGGGAGATTTCGAGATTGTGTAGCCAACATAACCCTTCGATGATCTCAGATCACTGCCCCAGTCCCAAAAGTACCATCTCCATCCACCATCAAGGCATTAGTATTGAGATTGAGGTTTCCTTCCACCAGTTGGTACCACCCATCAGTATCTATATTGTATTTGTATTTTTGTTTTAGAAAAACCATGGTAAACAAATTCTAAAACACTAATGAAATGATAGAGAAAAAAAAAAGCATACATACATGCATATATCAAACGTTATCATGATTGTAGTAGGGGGCAGAGCCAGCACCCTACAAGGTGGCACAACCACCCTGTTGTCTCCGTCGGAATTTATAGAAGGAATACAGACTTGTAGAGCTTCCAATCGTTGTGAACAGGGGCGGAGCTAGTTCGTTGAACTAGTACAAGTGTTCCTTTCGAGTTCTCATACTTTGAGATATTAATGTCAATGTCAAAAGCTTTTATAATAACGGGAATACTTCATGTCTTTTTGTTACAACCCACTTTTGTGCAAGTTCACAAAGACCTTGTAATCCTACAAATTCTGGATTAATTAGGAGATAACTAAAAAAAAATTGAGCCCAAAAAATTAAAAAAAAATTTGTCAAAAAATTGGGGGTGTCCAGGACCCCCCCCCCCCACCCCACCTACGCCCTGGTTGTGAAGTGAAGAGCAAGGAAGATGGGGAAAGATGAGTTTGTTGTGCCATTTTTTTTAAGTTGTTGGCTTTTTGTTGAGTCGGGTTTTATTTTTTTCAAAAAAAAAAAAAAGTTAGGTCCATTACCATATCCCATAGATATGCGGGCTGCAGTTAAGGTTAAAACATTGCTGTAACACATTGCCCCAGCCCCATCCATATGACAGAAACAAACTAAACCTATAATCCTATCTCTGATTCTAAGCTCCCTCCCTCAGCCCCGACACGATGACGCCACTACTTGATGCTTGTGACTTGCTATCATCGAAGTCGTTTCTCTGCCAGACCGCCACTGTCGACCATCACTGGCTGTGAGTATCTTTTTTTTAGTTCATTTTGATGCCATTTTAATTTAGAATTTGAATTCTTGAAGTGATATTTAATATGTATTGATCATTTGATTGGTGATTTAGGATGTGAATTGTGATAATTTATGATTTATGAAAATTGAGAAATTTATGATAAATGATAAATTGGGAAATTTGTGATATGTCATATGTGTTAAATGATAAACCGATTTTGGAAATTGAAACTTGATGATAGTTTAAAATGAAGTTTCACTTACATTTAATTTGTGGTTTTCTTTTAATTTTTATACAGATTATGGAAAGATTTTCATATGTATATGATTTTTACATTTTAGTACATTTACATGTAAATTGAATTTTTTTAATATTATTTAATTAAATATTAATAAACGACATCGCTATTACAGTCGTTGACTGTTGACGATTAATGATCATCAGTCAATGACCGTCCTAGATCACCAACATTCCTGAATCTGCCAATGATTATAATAATGGTAATTGAACTGATTTTGACCTTATTTAGTATTTACCTACGGCGCTAATAATATCATTTTTTTCACCATAATTGCAGAACTTCATTTAGCATCACTAATCAGATTTACAATGTAATATAAAGTAAAATTATCAAAATTTATTGACAATGAAAGATGTCATTTAAATGTTATAAGAAGAACAAGATAAAATGGTATGATTGGACTTAAATTTGATAATTTAGTTTCAAGTTTTAATGGAAAAATGATATATTCCTATTTGTTGCTTTGATTGTAACAAAGTCCAAAAATCTCTTCAATTTTCAAAAATAGGGAACAAAAAAAAAAGGGTGAAAAAGAGGTTCTACCTTTCTATTTCTAAGTTTCGAACTTTGTGACAAATTAAGCCCATGATATTAATATCAAATTAAGCCCATGTTATTAATCTCAGATTCTTTGTCATATTAATAACATGGGCTTAATTTGTCCTCATCCACTTCAATGTTATTGATTTTCTCCTCATCCACTTCAATGTTATTAATAACATGGGCTTAATATGACAAGTATGCACTCATTCGAGTTTTAGAAATATGGCAACATTACCTATAGCCAAAAGAGTTCGTAATTCTCACTGACCATGAGTCCTTGAAGCATTTAAAGGGTCAAGGTAAGCTAAACAAGAGACGTGCAAGGCGGATGGAGTTCATCGAGATATTTCCTTATGTTATTCGGTACAAACAATGAAAGAAAATGTGGTAACGGATACTTTGTCAAGGGGTACGTATTTCTAACTTTTTTAAGTGCGAAATTGATGGATTTGAATATGTTAAGGACATGCATGCTAATGATGCAAATGTTTCTAATATATGTGAATCATGTGATAAGGGAGCTATAGATAGATTCTTTAGGCATGATGGGTATTTATTTTAGGAAAATAAGTTAAGTGTTTCTAAATGTTCAATGTGAGAATTATTAGTACGTTAAGCACATAGTGGAGGTCTAATGTGTCATTTTGGGGTTAAGAAGAACTTAGAGATGCTAGGTGATCATTTTTATTGGCCTAAAATGAAAGTTGATATTGATTGGATTTGTAGTAAATGCATCATTTGAAATTTAAGGTTTTATCTCAAAGTTTATATACGTCATTACCTGTTCCTAGTAAATTTTGGGTTGGTGTGTCTTTGAATTTTCTGTTAGGTTTACCTAGGTCTAAGAAATGAAGAGATTATATATTTGTGGTGGTAGATAGATTTAGTAAGATGACACATTTTATTCCATGTCATAAAACTGATGATACCACCAATATTGTGAACTTATTCATTAAGGAAGTAATGTGCTTACATGGGATTCCTAGAAGCATTATATCAGATATGGATGTTAAATTCCTTAGTCACTTTTGGAGGATTTTGTAGAATAAATTAGAAACCAAGCTATTGTTTTCTACTACTTGTCACCCACAAACGGATAAGCAAACTGAGGTTGTTAATAGGACAGTGATACAGCTATTGTGCACTATAGTCAA